TACTCTACTCCCCAAGCTCCTTTTGGGTATTCAATTGAAGAACCAAACTCTTTCCACGACTTAGAGTCCAACCTGTACAATGTTTTTTTTTTTTTCTGGTGCAAGAACGAACCCAATCATTTCCACAATTCATGATCAAACCGTTACAATGCTCTTTTTCACACTCAAGAGCAACCCTTACAAAGAATTGAAATTTGAGTACAATCTCACAAACTCTCTCAAATGGTGGATATACGAATGTAAGGTCACAAAATTGTAAGAAGAATTATTACGATTCAAATGACTAAGAAAAAATAAAATTTGAAGAACAAATATCTCACACAAGAAATTATAATAAAAATTGAAGCTTTGCAGAGAAATAAAAAATGGAGATTGGGAGAGAACTATGGAGAGAATCGAGTTTGAAAATTGAGAGGGAGAATTGCTTAAATAGAGAAATATTATATTTAAAAAGGTTTAAATTATCATTAATTTGGGCCATTAGATTATGGTAAATAAGGATAAAGAGATGAGATTTAATTGGAGAAAAAAAATCAAAACAAGAGAGAAAGAGCAATTTGAGCTTCCAACAGAAGAAAAAAAAATCTTATTTGTGTGAGTATAGAAAGAAGGAACTCGCAGCTGAGAAGCAGCCACGTCGTGCTTTTCAGCTTTGCACGAGTGAGTGATTTCAATCCTTATTTAAAAAATAAAAAATAAAAAATTATCACTGTCGGTGCCTTTTGATTTTTTTTTCTTTCTCTTCTTTTCTTCATTTCATTTATTTTTCCTTTTTTTTCTCAACTACACATTTTGCCACATGTCAAATTTTTACTAGTAGAAATAGAGGATTTAGCCGCCATGTGTATTTTTCTTTAAACCTATCTTGGCAATAATTCTTCCTTTAAGCTCCAATTTGACTAATTAAAAAATCATTGTAATCTTTGTTTTTGTTTCAAGCTCTTCACCGTGGACATTTCAAAACATTAAAATTAACATTAAATAAATTAGGTTTTTTTATCATCAAAATATTAATTAATTAATTAATTATTAATTAATCTGAGATCAAGGGCTAAAAAGTCAAAATTTTTTAGTTTGAATGTGTGGATGATTGTGTTTCATTATTCTTTTATACTTTATTTTTTTATAAAATATTTGTTTATTTTTACAATGTGATTAATTTGTCAATAATTATTTTTGTTAACATTGACGATGATTTAGAAATTTAGTGAAGTTTCGACTTGATGTTGGATAAATTAATTATGATTGAATTTATTTGAAAATGGTATGGGTAGTGTGTTAGCATGTGAATTGATATGTGTGCAAGTATGCCTTGTAGACCCTGAAAACATGGCATCTACTTCTAAGAATATATAAATTGGGTGACTTGAACAATTATTCCATGCATGGGTTTCATTTTTATGACCTTGCTAAGGACACGTAGGATGCATTAAAGTTAAAATTTGGTGGAACTTCTGTCACAAAAAGTTAGGCAACTTACTATTAAGTTTGACACTTATAAAAAACACCTTAATCATAATACGAGACAGCGCGTGAGGCAGATGTCTAATATGATTAGTGATCTGAAAGAAGTTAGCCATATTCGAAAAGAAAGAAGTGGGAAACAACCCATTCTCGTGAAAGTAACAAAAAACAATTGATGAACATTCACCTTCTTCCAAAAACCAGTGGGTTTTCTCCTTCCTTTCTCAGCTTCCTACCAAAAATGGTATACCTCATTTCTCTATCTTTTTCGGGGTTTGGACATTATTCCCCCTTGGGATATCGTGCGGCGGCTGGTTCACATGTGGCTTTTAGATCACTCCTTAATTTTAAAGCTACAGACATCATTTGTACAGACGCGGGGTAAATTCCATGTAAAAAGAAGTTACTACATTTCCCAGAAATTCCTACGAAAATGATGCTTCGGAATCAGGCGTCCTAGCATTGTTGCTTGGTTCAGCTGCTTCACATCTGGTGCTCCAAATTTCCTACACATAAAGCTAAAAGCCAAATCTTCTATAATCATTGAAAAACAAGGATTCAAATGTTATTTATATATTTATTGCTGGGAGTGTTGCGCTAAACTCATAGTTTGTATTTTTGTAAAAACAAATATATATTCAATAAAGTTTTATTCAATCAATTTGTTGTTGAATTCATAACATTGCATTGTCCAAAATCCAATAAACTAAACATCTAAGGTTATTACCATGTAACCGGGACAGTATATATATTAGGTGTATATTTGATATACTGGGTATATATTTGATATACCCCTGATATACAAGTGGATAATGTCTCGGGAATAACCTAAACGGTTTATAGTATATGGATAAGGCTGGATACCTTATCTTGGCAACACTATGGATACGACCCACTTTGTAAATGTTAGAGCCGACTCGATCCAGATCGTTCGTGTGGAGACATGCGAGTGGAGGTATCCTATACAATGAGTTTGTATAAGACTGAACCGCGAAATAGTCAATCTTTAGATGTAACATAACTAATAGATTGCTATTTCTTAGGATAACCAAACAACTCATTCTCAATCTTGAGTGAGTTATGGACTCCGCCCGTAAGGGCTCGTCCTTTGATCTGTATGGGTGAGAATGGTCCGAGTCGCCGACTCAATATTCCTACCATTTTGGGGACGAGACCGAGTGGGAGTTGGGAACATAACTTGACAAGATGAAATTCACTCATCCCCGACCTTATGGGAGTAGATGAGTGTTCTCTTAAATGCTGACTCCGGGACTTGAACAAGGGGCCACACTCTCTCATTGGCCCAAGAGGGACTTCCAGTTATTGGTCGGACCATAACCGGGTTGTTTATTAGAGGAGCAGTGGTATTTAAAGAGCAAGATGTAACTCAGGGGTAAAACGGTAATTTGACCCAACTTGAGTTACGAGCACTCGTGAAGGATTGACTTGCCATTAATGGCCGTACATCCGTGGATACGAAAACATTGTGCAGTGAGAAGAGTGCAACTGCGGGTCTTTAGTGGAGTCACCCGTAGTTAACAAATGTTGATCAACTAGGTCAATGAGTTTGACTGATTAATCCCGTATCATTGGAGCTTCTGATCTGCAGGTCCATTAGGTCCCCTTGCTAGCTCATATCGGGTAAACGAGGATCAAGAATTTTGAAATGATTTGAAATGTTCAATTATGTGAGGGAATATATATAATGTATATTGATACATTATAAGTATATATTAATTTTGGATAGAGATTCACAATTAATACTATATATTATGAGAGAAATATTTGAATAAGATTCAAATAATTGATATGAATTGGATTCATATTAAAACTATAGGTTATTATACAAGAGAGTTATACAAGAGAGAGTTGTTTGAATATGATTCAAACATATAGTTTTATTTAATTAATATTTGAATTTGATTAATTATTAATTAGATTAATAATTAATTAAATAATTAAATGTTAATTAATTTATTTTAATTATAATTAGTTAATTAAATTAATTTGTTAATTAAATTAATTGATTTTAATTAATAAAATAAAATAAACCAAATACCACCTCACCCCCAAAAACCGTAGGGGAGTGGTGATGTGGTGATGTGGTGATGTGGGCAGTTATCCCAGATCACCTCTTTTGGTGAAAAGAAGAACGGTTCTGCAGCCTCTCTCAAGAAAAACACGTGCAAAGAAGAAACAGAGGATCTTTCTTCTCAAGTTTTTGCTCTCTCAAAAATTCCCTACTGTCACTCCCACAAGCAAAGATGTCGGTACCCAAAGGATAGCACGGAAGACCATTTGGTGATGTTCGTTGGTTAATCCATTGAAGAAAAGTTCTTCAAAGGTAAACAATTTTTCCCTTGTATTTTATCTTTGAACATTTGATTTTGTTTCTCAAAATTGATGAACAAAGATCCGCTTTCGCTCCGAGATTCACATCCAATCATTTCTTATATAAATCCTCATTTTGATATGCTATTATGACTACGACCTTCATATTTATTCTCTATTTAGCCATAACTATATCAAAATAACTCTCTTTTGAGGAGTTATTACACCCTCAAAGTTAAGATGTTACCTGTCTTCAAGCAAGACTACATCTTACAACCCAAATGAATGCACTGAAACTACAATTCACCAGATCTTGCACTTAAACTTTACTTACTTTGTTGACCTACAGTGCAAACAAAATGTACAACTCATTTATTCTTCCTCTAGACAACAAAAGAGAGTAGCTAGATCTTGCTCTAACTCTAAAATAGGCTATTTTCCTATGCTCTAGCATCCTTTTACTTTCCCTTGCAAAAGCTTGATCCACCTAGAGGCTCTTTTGTCAAACTCTTTTTCACTTGCCTTGAGCCTCTAGCTCTTTTTATTACTAGTTTGGTCTCTCAACTATGGGTTACTAGCATTTCTTAATCTTGCAACCTCTTTGAATTTTTTATTTTATTTTTATTTTTATGGACGGAATTACACGATTAAAAAGTTTCATAGTTGTACAATATAAGCTAAAGGAAGCTGAAAGCAAAGCGAAGCTCACATACCCCAAACTTAAAAGTTTGCATTGTCTTTAATGCAGGACAAAAACATGAAGTGCTCCAGCACACCCCTAAACTAGCAGCGAAGAAAATATGAAGTGAATATAGTATTTTCGCTAAGTTAATATGTAGTGCATGTATAAAGAAATAAGTGCTGGTATATAAAGGGAAAAAGGGTCCAAAAAAGAGTAATACTAAAGTAACGCCTGGACCAAGATAAGCAAGCTATTGAAATTTGTCAACTAACTACTCGTAGTTTATGAGGAGTACTAACAAGTTGATGTTAGGGCTTCGGTACTAAAACCTCAACTAGGGAGAAAGTAAGAATTTTTGTTTCCCGCAACTGATGCTTAGATTAAGCATAATGAAATTGAGACACAGAAAGAAAAAATAGAAAATTAAATGCAGTAAAGTAAAGGGGGTCATCTTAAAAGAGCAAAACAAATGACCTTCCTTTTGCAATCAAACATAGTTATTTTCTTCATCCAAAGAGTCGCCTGCAAGTTGATATTCCTCTTTGGTGTCGTCATCTTCCTCTAGAAACCTATATTGGGCATTATGGAAAATAGGTAATTTGGAGCTTGAGCTGGACAGAATGCGCTGCAAGACCATTTGGATTTCCTCCACTCTTTTCTTTAAATATTCAAAGAATGATTTCAGGGCCGCTTGGATGTGCTCGAGTTGCTTAAGCATCTTCTTCTGCAGCGTCATCACTTCGTTGATGGCACCAATCGATGGTTCTCCCCTACGAGCCTACTTTTGGAGTATCAGTCGCTCAAGCAAAGGTGCATCTATCCCTATTTTCTCAACTAGCACCTCCTCATTATCAATCATCGGGGTGTCTTTCGGAGGCAAAGCTTCGTGATGAGGTTGGGGCGAAATAATTTTCCTGACATTGATTGATTACTCCTCTAGAATATACGATAAAAGCAGGACCTACTCCTTTTTTATGGTTGTGTTGTGGATCGTGGGCAAGAGCCTGCATATTAAAAATAAAGTCAAACATTTGCTATGGGGGCTAAACAAATAGGGAGAGTTGAATGCACCCCTTGCACTGACATTTTACAAGTTGCCCCATCTATTCCCATGACTTTAAGCTCATGGCAGAGAAATGCTTTTTTTGTTGTACCACTTGTTTATTGAATGTTACACGCAGAAGGTTTGGAAATTTGAAAATTTTATATATTCGCTCAGGGAACCAGTCCGCTTCAATGTCACGCACCACCATTTTCCCCACACAATCTGGGTTAAAATTGGCGAAACTCTCTGACCAGGCCCGAGATGACGGGGATTGGAGGCTCACAAAAGCTTTCTTAACCATGCTATGTCACCACCAATTTCACAAAATCTGGCATATCAGTTGCTTTAAAGCCCCTCTCCAAGAAGAAACTGCGCGTCTTAATCGCCTGGAAGCGTTGGTATGCTCTAGCATTGGTGAATCGGTTGAAATCGGCCTCATGGGGAGGGATAATCTTCACATTTTCCCCTTGCTTTATTGTTGGTGTGGGCTTCTGCAAAAGAGGTTTAAAACGCCGCTTCCCCTTAGATGGGGAAGCGGTCTTCCCCATATTTTTTTTATCTTCTCTTCCATTTTGCGGCGGAAGATTCGGTGTTTGGGTTGGTGGCATTGGAGGCAAATTATCAACTAGGATGGCTCGCACTGTGGAAGTTGCATCGGAGACTTTGGTTTTCTTCCCTTTTATGCTAATTGCTAATCCATCGCTCGTTTTTCCTTCCGTGTTCGGGAAGTTGGGCAGCTGGTGTGTTCTCTATGATAGAGGTTTGTCCATCCTCCATGATGGTGGCTGGGGGAATGACTTCTTATTACTGCACTTGATGATATTATTATCATTGGTGTTTCGTTGTTTGAAATTCAGTCTTTGAAGGATCTTCTTAATCATCATTTCAAGCTAAAAGATCTTGGTTCTCTTGAATATTTCTTGGCCTTAAACTTGCTCGATCTTGAGCTGGGATTTTTCTTTCTCAACGTGGTCATACTTTGCAACTATTAGAAGACATTGGTTTTTTTGGTGCTTGGCCTTCTTCTGTTCCTACGAATCCTCGTTTACAATTATCTTCTTCTACTGATGATTTACTTACTAATCTTTCTACGTATCGATGGCTTATCGGTCGTCTTTTATACTTGACTATTTCTCGTCTGGATATTACAATTGCTGTTCATAAACTTAGTCCGTTTATGTCCAATCCTAGTAAAGTACATCTTGCTGCTGCTCATGATTTGCTATATTATTTGAAGTCTCCCCTTAATCAAGGTATTTTCTTCCAGTGGTAAAGAATTTTCAAGTACGTGCCTTCACTGATGCTATGTGTCTTCCTTGGTATATCTTTGGTGCTTTGGAAGTTTAGGAACCAAATTACTGTTTCTCGTTCTTGAGTTAAGGCTGAGTATCGAGCTCTTGTAATGGCAGCTTGTGAGATTTGTGTAGTTATCTAATCTCTTGCATCACTTTAAGGTTAATTTTGATATCCCGGCTTTATTTCTTTATGACAATCAATCAACTATTTATATAACCTTTCATCCAATTTTTCATGAGCGTACATGCACATATTGAGTTAGACTGTTACTTTATTTCTAAGAAGATTATTGATGGCACCATCAAATTCTTGCATGTTCTTTCGAGTTTACAATTGGATGATCTTTTCACGAAGCCTTTCCTTGCTGTTGTTTTGTTGGCCCTATTGTCTAGATGGATGTTATGGATATTCACCACCCATCTTTAGGGGAGTATTCAGAGTAATTGGTTTTATTTTATCGTCAATTAGCTACAAGTCTATTGAATAGTTATTTTATGAGTTTCATTATTTTTGGCTCCTGTTATACATAGTTTAGTTTCTTCGCGCGTGTATATAAACATGTAAGTTTTGTTTTATTGATTTTAATGTAGAACATATCTTATTATAGTTGCTCGCTCTGCATTTAATACAGAAGGATTGAGATTAATGCTTTGAACAATACTCAAGAATACCAAAAGTTTCGAACTATAATAAATAGAGTAATTAGCTAGATTAAAGGGAAAGCGATAAACAAATGTTAGCTTTATGGCTTCAATCAAACCAAATATTTTGATGATCACAAACCAAGTGTAAACTAAAAATTTGAGTGTTTCAAAGTGTCCATAGTATAGAGCTCAAAAGACAAAACTAATGTCTGTCAAATCACTCAAATCGGAGTTTAAACGAAGAAGTTATGATCAAAGCAAGTTAGGAGAAAAATCCTACATGGCGGGTGACGTGGACAAGTGCACCAATCCTACATGGTGGGTGACATGGACAAGTGGACCACTCGAAAGTTGACATGCAGCATCAAGAGGACATACTTATGCTAACATGGCATCCAACAATCAAACAAATGAGAAAATGACATGTGGCGCTTTCAATCTCTACAAATTCATTTCCACCAATTTCTCTCAATCTCCTCAATCACTCTCAATCTCCTCAATCACTCTCAATCTCAATCATTTCTCAATCTCCAGTAATTTTTTTAATCACCATAATTATATTTTTATTTCATTTCCTTACCTCACCTCTTAATCTACACCATTCATCCTCTGTTGCCCTAAATCCAATGGCCAAAATTCATCATCGAAACTTTATTTAAAACCACCAAATTCTACCATTCTACACACCAACTATCAAAGCAAAAATCTTTTGTTTTCAAATTCTCCTCTCAACTTTTGCAAAATCTTCATTCTCTCATACACAACTTGCTCATTTGTTTGCGAGAGATTCATTAGAGTGTGGCTTTTTAGCCATTACTTTGGGCAAAATTCGTGTAATCCACTTGTGTTTTTTAATTCTTTATTTTCAAATTGGATTTTGTATTAAGGTGTGGGTACACCTTGGGTTGTGAGAAAAGTAAATTGGTTGGATCCTGAACTAGTAAAAAGAATCTTGGGTTTATCTTTAACCTAGGACAAAAAGATGGTCGATCGATTTGGTTCTCACCCGTAAGAGGACCACGACAGTAAAATACCCAAGAAGGAGTCTTAGGGAGTGGAGTAGGAATTTTCGAACCCCTATAAAAGTTCTCGGTGTCACATTTCTCTTATTTTCTCTCTTTTAAATTTAGTATTTATCTATTTTGAATCTTGCTAGATTGCATATAGGTTTAATCAAGTATTTTGTTCAATATTTCTTCTTCTTCTTCTTAATCTTCTTTTATAGATTGCATAATTGTTTTTTACCTTGAATTTATTTTTATTTTGAAAAAGTGGTAAGCAACCTTATTCACATCCTCTAATGTTGTCATTCGATCTTACAATTGGTATCAGAGCAGGTAGCTCATCTCTTTTTAAAAAGTTTGATTTTTTAGAATTCCATCTTTTTCTAAAACTATCTATTATGTTTCCTAAATCTGGAATTTTCTTTATTATTGAAGAAAAGTTTCAAAAATTGTGTTTTTGAGTCGATTTTACTAGAAATTAATTTTCCTCAAAAATTGACTTTTGAAAACTATTCTTTTTCTTCACTTTTGGAAATTTATTTTGTTTAGAATAAATCTTTGAAATATTTTTTAAATTTAATATCTTTGAAAATTAAATTTTCTTGATTCTAAATTTATTTTCTTTGCAACTTTTCTAAAAACATAATTGTTTGAGCTTATGGCAAACATTAGTGATAAGAAAACAATAGCCAATTGGATCTAAGAACCCTTATGGTTATGCAAACCCCTAGATCACAAATGCTAAAACCCCCAAATCAAGATGATTTCAACCCAAAGAAGAAGTTAGAACGAATTTACCTTGATGATCAAGATCAAGAGTAGAAAAAACTTGTTTCTAAACTCAAGATTCGAACCACTCCATAAGATAGCTTGATCAAGGCTACTTGAATGAATCTAGCATGCAAATCTAACACTCAAGAATTGCAAAGAAAAACAAGCTCTAGACTTTTGAAGCAAAATAGCAAGTTTCATTCAATCATAAAATCTCTACTATAGTGACCAACCCCTTGACATTTCCAACACTTAATATCTCTATTTCATTCCTTAGTCTCATCAACCTTTTCTTTCCCCTTATAAGAAGTCTCTCCCTTATCCTTAGGTTTCTCACTTAACTTTTGGGTCTTAGACTTATTCAGCATGCTTAGTATCCCTTTTCCATGTAGAAGTACTTGAAGAAGGTTTACTAGAATACCTTTGGGAGTAACCCAAATATTAAAATATTAAAATCTTCTTGTTGGGCATGCATAACAGTCTCAACATTCGTATCTTCAATGCCATCTTGATTCTCTCCCTCATTTGGAATTTGTTGATGATTATCCTCTTGCGAGGCATAGGACAATCTTCCTCTTTTTGAACCGATTTTGCAGCATGCCTCTTCATGTCTTCGTATCGCATTTTGAACTCTTGGCACAATTCATTGAGGTCATTTATGTTTTGCGAATCCCGGCCAATTCCTTCGTATATGGATCTTCGCCATGGTGGTTATCATGATATCTCCGACTATTGTGGAACTTCGATTTCTGTGAACGTCCAATGTGAAACATGGCTGCAAAACAAAGTTACAGTAACAAAGAAAAATGGATCTTACAAGCACTCCCTTACTATTCCACTCGTTAATGAAGTTCACTCGTGTTTAACACTCAACACTCAAAATAATGTATCACTTACTTTCAATCTCTCCCTCACGACTTAGTACACTCTTACACACATCAAACAAATTGGTAAGTGAGTAGCAAATTCAAAGAGCAATGTGCATTTCAAGTGGTTTAGACAGCACATAAGAACTCATACAAGAGCGTGATTTTAAGAGTAACCCAAATAACAACAAAGAAACAAGTAAAGAAAAAGAATGGACAGAATTAGAAATGAAGCTAGAAAGAAATGAAAGCAGCATGAGAATTCAATGCAAGGCTAGTAAATGAATAGAAAGTGTAACCACAAAGAAGTAATGACAAATGGATTTTCTATGCTTTTCTTCTTTCCTTTTTTTTTATCAGATACGGATCAGCAAAAGCACAATAATGTTAACAATAAATGCTTTCACGTTCAGTTTTTTTTTTTTATCAAACAACAAATTGCAAGAATTTCACTATCAAGCAAGTCGAATTAGAAGTCTTCAAAGAAGACAAATTTGTAGATAAGACCCAGATCTAGTCCGTTCCATCTTTAGCGCACTCACACTGTAGCATTCTTCGCTCGACTCAAATTTGACTGTCTTCACCTGCGATTGAAATTACATTTCTCTAAATCT